CCACTGTCTGATCCAGCAGGGCTCTTCTTATGTTCTTATGGAGGCCTTAGCCTCTATGCCCAGTTGCTGGCTCTCCAGAGGAACTGGTTGGCCACTGTGTGTGAGACAGGATACTGGACTAGACGGACTGCTGGTCTGATCTAGTAGGGCTCTTCCTATGTTCTTATGAAAGCCTCAGCCTCTGTGCCCTGTTGTTGGCCCTTGGGGAACTGGTTGGCCACTGTGTGAGACAGGATGCTGGACTAGATGACCCATTGTTCTGATCCAGCAGGGCTCTGTATTATGTTCTCATGATGTAATAGAAACTGGTTGCGTGAAGGAGGCCAAATAGAAATAACACGTAGGGCAGGCTCAAAATAGGGAAGATAAGTCTGTCCATGGCTACTAGTTGTGGTGACTGAGGGGAACCTCCACATTCAGAGGCTTTAGTCCTCTGAATCCCAGAGCCAAGAAGCAACATCAGGAGGTTGCCTACTGTGTGAGATGGGATGCTGGACCAGATGGACGACTGGTCCGATCCAGCAGGGCTCTAACAAATCAGGGATACACCCAAAGTTCCTCTTGATTCAACATAAGCTGAGAACTGCTGGTCTGCAATAATTTTGTGAACATATTCTGTGAAATCTGGTTCCAAATACTGCATTTCGCTCCAGTTAGTTTTGAGAGCCTCCAGATTCAGCCCAAATTGGGGCATGCTGGTCTGCAATAATTTTGTGAACATATTCTGTGAAATCTGGTTCCAAATACTGCATTTCGCTCCAGTTAGTTTTGAGAGCCTCCAGATTCAGCCCAAATTGGGGCATGCTGGTCTGCAATAATTTTGTGAACATATTCTGTGAAATCTGGTTCCAAATACTGCATTTCGCTCCAGTTAGTTTTGAGAGCCTCCAGATTCAGCCCAAATTGGGGCATGCTGGTCTGCAATAATTCTATGATTATATTCTGTGAAATTTGGTTCCAAGTTCCACACACAGCTGCTTTGATCTGAGAGGAAGGTAGATTGAAACATGGGCATACCTGGGAAATGCATACGGCTGCACACCTGCTGCACACGGCTGCATGGGAAATTTCCCCTTATATCAGCAACATCATTTTATCACGGGAGGTCTATGGACGTTTTTTGTATGTCATCTGAGGGCATAGGCTAATATCCATACCTATGTATTGTGCCACGTTCAAGAGCCATCAACATTAAATCAACACACTAGCATGAAACAGAAGTAATATGCAACAGACGTTTGCTTATTAAATTTGTTTTTATTTTAGTACAGAACATATTCCTATTGTTCATGGTTTTTCCTTAGCATTTTCTCCCTTTTTGCATACCGTATGCTGAGGTCCCCCCCTTTATTTTCTCTATAACCTCCAGGTGGGACCAGGAGATCTCCTGGGATTACAACCAGTGTTCCCTCTAAGCAGAGTTAGTGTGAGCTAGCTCACAATTTTTTTCACCTCCGGCTCACACATATTTTTGTCTTAGCTCAGGGAGGAGGGCTCCAGAGCAAACTAATTCCTGCAGGAGCCACATCGCTCGCTCACAACTTTTAATGCCAGTCGCTCAGAAAGTAGAATTTTTGCTCACAAGACTCCACAGCTTAGAAGGGAGCATTGCTCTCCAGATACAGAGCTCAGTTTCCGGAGAGGAGGAGGAGAGATTGGATTTATACCCCGCCCTTTACTACCCGAAGGTGTCTCAGAGCGGCTTACAAACTCCTTTCCCTTCCCCTCCCCACCACAGACACCCAGTGAGATAGGTGGGGCTGAGAGAGCTCTTGACAGAAACTGTTCTTTTTCAAAAACAGCTCTGACAGAACTACGGCTTGCCCAAGGTTATCCAGCCAGGTGCAAGTGGAGGAGTGGGGAATCAAACCCGGTTCTCCCAGATTAGAGTCCGCGCACTTAACCGCTACACCAAACTGGCTGCTTTGGTGCATAGACTCTGTGACATCATACCCTGCTGAGGTCCCTCCCTCTCCAAACCCCTCCCTTCCCCAGTCTCCTTCCCACAGATCTCCAGAAATTTCCCAGCCCCAAGTCAGCAGCCCGGGGGGGGGGGGGAGAGGCCTTCCTCCCCCTGAGAATTTGCTATATCGAATTCCCATTGCATGTTTCCTTGACGGGACGCAAAGTGGACCTGTAAGCAGTGTGATGTGGTCAGGCCCTTCGTGGGGGGATTTCAACTCAGCCCTTCGCAGATCTACTCTAACCATTAGGCTTGTCAGCTCTGGGTTGGGAAATACCTGGGGATTTGGGGGGTGGAGCCTGGGGGAGGGAGGGGTTTGTGGAGGGGAGTGACCTCAGCAGAGCATACTGCCATTACAGTCCACGCTCCAAAAAAGCCTGTGCGGAAAGGGATTGCCAGTGGAAGCAGCAGGGGCAGATTGACCCGTTGATCTACGGAATCCCGGTCAAGATCCATACCAGGAAGGAAAGCCATGGTCCGGATGTCCTTACTGGGTCTCAGTGGTGTAGTGGTTAAGTGTGTGGCACCTGGAGCTCTCCCACTATCAGCGTTTGCTCTCCAGACGACAGAGATCAGTTCCCTGGGGAGAAAATGGCTGCTTTGGAGGGTGGGCTGTATGGCTGAAGAAGAGATTGGATTTATACCCCGCCCTTCACTACCCAAAGGTGTCTCAGAGCGGCTTACAAACTCCTTTCCCTTCCCTTCCTCTCCCCACAACAGACACCCTGTGAGCAATGCTCCCTCTAAGACAGTGATGGCGAACCTTTTAGAGACTGAGTGCCCAAACTGTGACCCAAAGCCCACTTATTTATCGCAAAGTGCCAACATGGCAATTTAACCTGAATACTGAGGTTTTACTTTAGAAAAAACAACTCATACGGGCCCCGCCTGGCAAGTCCGAGATCTTCTTGGGGCCCTGCCCCACCTTCACCTGGAGATCAGTTGTAACAGCGGGCGGTCTCCAGGTGCCACCTGGTGGCTGGCAACTCTACTTAGATAGGCCCCTGCTGAGATTAAAGACAAAGGGGGCACGAGAGTTTCCGGCGCCCAAGAGCTGAGTTTAAGATTAAGATTTGAGACTCATTTGACTTTTCTTTTTAATTTTCATTTGGAACTTTTTGAGGGAATACAGAATAAAGAAAAGGGGGTAAGGGGAAAGGTAAAATTTCCAAAACATAGTATAAAGGGCTTTTTTCTTTTTGCTGCAAATATAAAGGACAAGCCTTGATTCAAACACTTGAATTTTTAGGAATATTATTATAACAATATAACTTTAAAAACCACTATAACAACCTACTCAACATTCTACCATTTTATAATATATTAACATAAGAACATAAGAGAACATATTTCTCATAATATATTAACATAAGAACATAAGAGAACATATTTCTCATAATATATTAACATAAGAGAACATATTCCTCATAATATATTAACATAAGAACAAGGTAGGATCAGGCCAAGGGCCCATCCAGTTCAACACTCTGTCACACAGTGGCCAAAAATACCAGGTGCCATCAGGAGGTCCACCAGTGGGGCCAG